ATGTATATATGTACTACACACACATATATATATATATATATATATATATATGTGGGTGGGTGGGTGGGTGAATATATATATATATATATATATGCTTGTATATAATTTTTTCATATACATAATCATGTACATACTTCTGAGTATTCTCATGTGTTGCTGTATGAGGCTTACTTCGCTTATAACTGCTATTCTGGAATGAGTAGCTCATTTTCTCCACACCACAGGAGAAGCTTCTTTTACACGCTATAATTATTGGTGGCAGCACATTTGTTTTCAAATTGTATTATTTAGAAAGCATACATTCCAGTTTCCATGTCGAGTCATATTCTACGAGTAGTGCGTGTATGGTAACACTCGATCTAATAGGTCATGGCACCAGTATATGTTCTAAACCCCAGAGTGTTTGCGTACATGCATACATAGCAATACCACTGATTATATCGGATCATATGATCCCAGTAGTGGTACAGGCTGTCTGTCTCTTTGTGTGGTTGACGTGTTCTCCTGTCAGTCGTGGCTATAGTCTTTTCTGTTGTCCCCAGTGGGCCTTCCAGAGAATACTCTCACCTGCCCCGCAAGTGTACACGTGCAAATCTGTGGCATTATGACACGTGCGAATCTGTGGCATTGTATACATGGCGTGTCATATTCAGTATTCTGCGCCCGATACATATCTCGAACCCAGACGTTCTCAATCGTCGCTCTCTCTCTCTCGCACTCTTCGTAGAGACATGCCTGGCAGGTCAGATCATGACCCGCCCATACACGTCTGTGCTTGACTAGATACACACCTGAAACCTCTAACCCAGCACATACACGTCTGTTCTTGACTAGATACACACCTGAACCTTTAACCCACTTTGTTTTGGTTGCGGGCAGGTGCTAACGGACGTAGGTACGCTCGAAAAGTCCACCGAGTTTATCACTAGCCTCTCGGGCCGTGAGGATGTGAAGGCGGCTATAGTGGCACTACTGACCCTGGTGCTGAATGATCCCACCTCGATTGCAAAGGTGGGTGGCCAGTACTAGCTGTCCGATTCTACTGAATACGTATTGAATCTGGCGTAATTACACTAATTAGCTTGTTATAGTTATGATAAGGAATTCATAGTGAACCTGACATAGTTACACCATAGATTAGCTTATTATAGTTAAAATAAGGGATACATAGTGAACCTGACATAGTTACACCGTAGATTAGCTAATTGTAGTTCTAATAAGGAATACATAGTGAACCTGGCACAGTTACACCATAGACCAGCTTGTTCTAATTATAATAGGAAGCACATACTTCACCTGGCGCAATTGCACCATAGATTAGCTTGTCATCATAAGCCTGTGCATGAGTCATGCTGCAGATGCACATACATGGGGACGGGTGTATGGGTATGAGCTGGTAGAGTTGCGTTACGTTCAAAGGGCTGCGAATGCGACAGTTATATCGGAAGTTATTGCCAGTGCTGTTGTTTTGTTTTGGTTGCACTGCTGGTCTTGATTCTGCATCTGTGTCTCTCTCGCTCTCCCTCTCTGCCTATAGTCTGTATTCATGCTTGATACTGTGCCTAACATAAACGTGCGTGAACACGTTGACATGTATAAGCTCGCAATAGGGGGCAACCGTACAACTCACAGAGATGTATGTATATACTGTTATGTTCGTGCACTTGTATAAATCCACGTGTGTTACAGTACACACGCATGCACACTGTGTCTGTGTGCCATTCTGATGTTCTCTGTAGCTGTGTGCGTTCGATGGGCTAAGTGCGATGGGAGTGTAGCTGATCGTATTAGATTCTGGTCTGTCGCCGACTGGGTTTTAGGGTTTTCAAAACAAACCCTAATCTGATAGGCAGTCGCGTACTTTGATCCTTGAGGTGATGGAGTCGTACTTTTGAATGTGACAATGACCTTCATCCGATCTGAGGGGTACTCTATACTGTGTGGTTTGCAACTTTATTTGAACTTCAACGGTATTTTTTTTGTAGTCATGCATTTATTACTGATAAAATACTCCCGTTCCAAATTAGAAACCATAGATAAACTTGCGTCAATTGTTTACGTAGGTATGGACACTCGTGTGCGCTTGTTCAACCCATCCTAATTTTGCCATAGGGCCGAAGAATTGTAGTGCCACAGCCTCTGTCTATATATATATGGATATATATATATATATGTATGTATATATAAATATATATATGTATATTATATATATATGTATATATATATATATATTAGATAGATCGATCGATAGATAGATAGATAGATAGATAGATAGTTTGCTAGTTAGGTATATATTTATATATATATGTGTGTGTTTGTGTTTGTGTGTGTGTATCAATATATATATATCTATCTATCTATCTATATCTATCTATATATATATATATATATATACATATTCCAGAGCTCTATCCTTTGTTTGTTCGCTGCATCGGTCACTGACTTCCTACAATCCAATCCAATCCAATCCCTTTTTTTTTTCAAATCAGGTCAAGGAGCTATTGGGAGCGGTGGTGACACAGCTCTTAGCCGATCCAGATCTCAAGCAAGTGTTTGTAGACTTCGCCTATTGGCTTATCACGCAAGAAACCACCACCAAGGCCCTGAGTCAGCTCATGGCGAATACCTACAAAGAGCCCTGGTTCCAAGGTATGTATATCTCTGCTGTATGTAATATGATACATTGAAGTATGTGGTGTATGTGGTATATACAGACAGCACTTTACATAGAACCAATGCTTGTTGGTTGTGATTGTTTATGACCGAGATATATATTAACAGGTGGTGCAGCACCTGACACTCATTTATCGCGCACATGTCTAATTGTTTCAGAGTCTTTTGACTGTGTCATTTCCCATTGGAGTTGTCTGAACTAAAACCAAGCGATTGTATTGGCACTGCACACATTCCCTGCCCGTCCAATCGATGGAGATATATCCAGTTATATATACATATATATGTATGTATATATATATATATGTATGTATATATATATATATATATATATGTATGTATGTATGTATATATATATATATGTTTGATATATGTTTGATTATATATATATATGAGTATGTACGGAAGTAGGTGAAAGCCTGTTGTATTCATTTGTGAGGCGATACGCGTGTACGTGTTTTGGTGCTGACAGGTAGGCCACAAACACATTACCTACTTAAATATATCATCAATACTCGAAATCTTTGTCTTTACGACTGTCAAGTTATTGTATTTACGACTACTAAGCGTTTGTATCTACGATCATTACGATTGTATTTACTGTGTCAATTGGGAACCTCTATCCCATCCTTCTATCGACGGCCACAGCTACAAGGATGAATGCCGTTGCCGTCTCTCCACAACTCATAACCATTCACTGGTTCACTGAACCTTCTCCCGAGTCTATGACAACGGCGTTTAATACATTTTAAACTTTAATCGCCTTCATCTGTTCTGGGATTGAAAAGGTTATTTCCATGTCCCATACCCATTCACTGGTTCACTAATCTTTCCTCCGCGCCTACTGCAATGGTGCTCAACCCATTTTAGACTTTAATCGCCTTCATTTGCACTGGGAATGAAACTTGAAAACGTTAACGTTTGACTTCCTGTCGCGTTTATACAGAGACCACCAACGAGTTCTTCGGATGGGTTATTGCTTCAGAACCGGTGTACGTTGCGTCACAGACACTGATGCAGAATTCCATGCAAGCCACCATGGCCGATGTAGAATTCCAGGTGAGAATACGTACTGTTTGTGTGGTGGTATATACACATAATGTGCGCACATTCGCACTACATCTCCGTGACTCTGCTGGCAGGGCGGTCCCCCAGCGAATCCACCCGTGGTCAGCGTTCGATATGTCGTAGGCCTATCAAGATTATATATATATATATATACATATGTATATGTATATATATATATAGTCGCTAATAAGCGGATATGTTCTGTCTCGATCGCCCACATTAGTATCAGTGGCAATCCGATCCGTATAGCTATGGTTTTATATGGTGAGCCTGTGGGTCTACATTTGTCCCCATAGTAATAGTATGTATTTAGAGGCTTCAATGTAGCCGCTTATCACCGCATCTTCGTATCATGACCATCGATTGGGTCAGTGGTATATACTAAAACACAAGGAAGCCTGTAGTGACATACATACATGATTGGCTTCTCAGAGTTCATGTCCATATCCATCGTAGCACTTTCACAACCGTTGTCGATGCACTGCACCGGCGTGTATAGCCCAAATGTCCACTTCCCTCGTCTGTTGAGGCTGTGGTAGTCTTTGGCTCTTCCAAACGCTTTCCTCCATACCCTCAGATAACCGTTTTTCGTTCACTACCCCCTACATAGTGTGTAGTGTACGCTTATGAGTACGCTTCCTCCATACCCTCAGATAACCGTTTTTCGTTCACTACCCCCTACATAGTGTGTAGTGTACGCTTATGTGTACGCTCTCGCACATCTGTACGCGTGTATGTCCCATATGTCGACCTTGTCCATAGGATTATGTAGGTCACTTACACCTTCACAGGGATTTACCTACTTCATACCATGGGTTGTACACCTGTCTCATACGTACATACCTCGGCCCATACACACCCACACCCATCACAGGAAATGACAGCCGTCTTCTTCCGTGATGTGTTGGCGGATCAGAATTTGCACGAACAAGGAGGCAATGCGATGTGGGAAGCCTTCAAGTTCTCTCTCCCGGGTAGCGGACTCTTTAGACGCAGCCCAGTGGCTACAGACGATTCCGGGATAGATACGGACAGCATCAGGAGAACGCGGTCGGATGATGTCGGGGCAAAATCGGGCAATTCCGGGACAAAATCTAACGACAGTGGGACAACATCCGACAGTGGGACAACATCCGACAGCGCCGAGAGACCGTCGGATAACCCGGAGATAAAATCCGACCAGTCAGAGACAAAGTCTAACGAAAGTAGGACAACATCCGACATCGCCGAGAGGCCGTCGAATAATTCCGGGACGAGCCCAAACCATACCGGGACGAACCCTGGGGAAACCGGCACGGCGCAGCCTGCTACTACCGCATCAGTAGACGAGGGCCGTGCCACGGACACACGAGACGTTGTGAAGACACACCGCAGCGATGGCAAACGGACAGCCAAGGCGAGGCCACAGAGCGTGTACACATTCGACACCGACGTAGCGCCTGAGGTGGTCGAACGCCGCCTGCGACACGACGGGGTACTACCGGCCAAGGGCAAGGGAGCGGCGCAGGGGAGTGACAGGCCAAGTGCGCGTGGAGAGGGGAATGGCCCCGGGGGGGGTGTTGGCGGGCATACAAGGGGCCTAGATAAGGGCCTATCTGAGACCAGGACAGAATTTAGGGGTGGTGTGGACCGGGGGCAGGTGGGGGACGGTGAGCTTAAAGCGGCGCAACAGGAACACGCCGACGCCGTGGCGCTGGATGAGCAGATCGACATTGTCAACGATGAGATCGGGCGCAAGATTGAGAGTTTGGCGACGAGTGAGAGTGAGAGTGATGGTGACAGTGGGACGGGGGGGCATGTGGGTGGTGAGGCGCGTGTACCGGTATTAGAAGCGGGGTGGGGTGGGGGGGAGGTGGTAGGTAGCCTTGGTGAGAAGGTCGAGTCGAACACTGGCCGTGGTGGTACAGTAGGCACCTCAGGCGACCAGTCTGCTAGGGCATCCGGCACAATCCATGATGGGAACACACTGGATGGCGGGGCGTACGACAGTACGACGCAAGTATACGACAATCCGACCAAGCCAGCGGCCACCCCCCCGCCAAGTGAGTCCAGGAGGGGGGCCATGTTGGAGCGCATCAACCGACGCGTGCGAGCACAGAAGGACGGCTTTGTCAATGAACTGCAGGGCAGAGAGGCTTCCAACACCCGCGCAGCGCACATCGAGTCCCTGGCCGACGCGTTGGATGAGTTCCATCCCGTGTACGACGAGCATGTGATGGGGGGGCTGTTGCAGGGCAAGGGGCAGACGTATGTGTACATGCAGGCTATCGGAACGGACCCAGACGACTATGTTGTGGCGCAGAGGAGTGAGAGAGACCGGGATAGCTCTGTGGATACTATAGAGAATATCCAGCGTGGTGTGCACGCGTCTTTGTACGACACCGAACGGGGTGTTTTGGATGACGCATCGGATACGCACGCGGAGGGGACGGGAAGGGGGGGCACTGAAGGGACTGATAGGGAGGCCGGGGCAAAAGCAGCCCCAAACCCAGACAGTGGTACCCGCACCCGCACGGGCGAACAAACGGACCAAGAGACCACCCCGTCGCATGTCGACACGCTGTCCAACACGCTTGTGAGCGACGTGCCTGATGCAGAGGAGAGTGGGGAATGGGTGGCTGAGATGGAGCCTCCCGTGCAAGTGCGCCCGCCCACCAGAAGGGAGAGTACGAGGCGCACGAGCCGGTTTTGGGGTTGGTGGCCAGGGGGTAGTACGGATGCCACTGATGATGGGCAGACAGAAGAGCCTGAGCTGGTACATGAAGAGGAGATGGAGCCTAAATTCCCGGCTGGGGGGGTCTCCAAGGGGTCTATGCACACGGCCAATACTGATGTGCCCTTGTCCGAGCTCTCGCCACGAGCGAGTGTGCCGGTGCCGAGATAGAAGTAGTGGTATGATCGATAGGTAGTACGACTGGTAGTGAATATGAATGCAAATAAAGAAGGTACATCGTATCAGGGGTGGCGTTTGTATGCCCAGAGTCTCAAGCGGCAAGCTGATCGTAGCGTCTTATTTTCGCTTGAAAACAGCAGCTTAGGATAGATGTGATGCTAAGACAGTTGCACGGTCGCATGGTGTGTGATATTACGCCATGGATTGTACCCCTGTTCCTGTGAGCTGTCAAAAACTTGAGCAGTTGACGACAACCGCACATGAATGTGATATTAAGGAGACCTTGACAGCCGATACGCAACTTAGTTAATCAAGGGAGAGTGGGAAAAAACGAAGTTAATCAAGGGAGTGTAGGAATAAAACGTAGGAAACGAGAATTGGACATCAGGTACCCTAGCGTAGTGTGTTTTAAATATGTGCTTAAACATGATAACTTAAGCGCAGAAACTTTAACGCTTCGTTGCGGCTTAAAAATCTCGCGCTTTAGCCCTTGTAAAAAGCCGGGAGATTGCTCGGATAGGCGCCCCATCCCCCATCCCCCATCCCCTGAGAGCTTTACTCGATCATATAGACACGCACAAACCGCTATAAGCGCAAGGGCGAGAAGTTCTATACCGTTCGATCATCTGCATCATTTGAGTCCAGAAATGCCATGGTTTATCAAAAGGCTCAACCGTGCAATTGGTATTTTATTAATTGGGGGACAGGGTCAGTCCTTCGGACCATAGTGCGACCTGCTACTAATCTCTTTACTTTCCTAGAGGATCCGAAATCAATATACCAGTTATGTACCCAAGCATCCGTATTCGATAGTCGTGGTGGTGGGTGCGTGGCAGACGTTAACGGCTCTATCTCAATCCTCTGAGATGAAGCAGTGTATATCTGTACGTTTATTCTGTGCACGCTCATCCCGTGGTCGTCGTATGTCAAGCTACAGCACTGTGTATGACTGACAAGAGAAAGGTTATAATCATACCAAACATACGGTTTTCGGTAGCATGATCGTTATCTCGTCTACATATACATACATATACATCGTCTTGTAACGTCATATGCTTGTAAGGTTATATGCTTGTAAGGTTATATGCTTGTAAGGTTATATGCTTGTAAGGTTATATGCTTGTAAGGTTTTATGCTTGAGGGTTATATGCTTGTAAGGTTATATGCTTGTAGGGTTGTACGCATGGGTTATATGCTTGTAAGGTTATATTCACATGACGCATTGATCTCAAGTGTACAGTAGACAGACGTAAGTGAAGTGTTCTTCGTTCGACTGCAAACAACTCAGCGAACTCAACCCATGTTCAGGATTTGCTTTGTGAGAGGGGTTCTCAGTTCTGTACTGTAGTAAAGTATATACGTAGGACATAGTAAATAAAGTTAGTAACACCCTCGAAGGCTCGAACAATTCCGTCAAGCAAACCCCCCCCCCCNCCCACCAC